CTGTCTGAGCATTTCGCCAGACGACCATACGAGCGCCCTCCACCCATCATGGTGGACGGTCACGAGGAGTTTCTCGTTTCAGACATCATTGGTCGCCGAGTCACCGACGATAACCCTCCTGACGTCGAGTATCTCGTACGTTGGAAGGGTTACCCTGATCAGGAGGCTACCTGGGAGCCCCTCGAGCACTTGCAGCACGCTCGCATGTTGGTGTGTGCCTATGACCGTGCTCGTCGTGCGGGGTTCACTGCTCCTCCTCAGCCCACTGACCCTCCTCCTTCTCCCCCGGCTGAGGAGACCGCTGAAGTCGAGCCTGCTCCATCTGAGGCAGACCTTCAGCAGCAGCCGGATGCTTCCGAGCGTCCACAGCGCACTCGTCGTCGTCCTACTCGATACGACAATTGACTCTGACTTACCTTCCCACGTCCTTGACTTCTCAGTACTCCATCCACTCCAGTTTTGCTACTTCCGCTCGTCGACGTTGTGGCTCTTCCTCGACGGCATTCTGGACTTCTCATCGTGGACGTCATCGGCAGCTTCATGGACTTCGTCACGATCAGCTCTGCCTACTTCAGACTTCGCCACTCTCTTACCACTTTACCCTATACAGTACCCTGCTTGTGTCGCATGATGGTCTCCCTTTAGCTGGGTTCCTCTGAGTTGGGCTAGGCATCGGAACCAGAGCGTTGCCCTGGTTTCCCATCTTACGGATCTAGCTCCGACTTCCCTCACTTTAGGAGTCATTTGCATGATTCCCTTACCCATCATCTTTCTACCCTTCGCCGGCCCTCACGCCCTAGTTAGGCAGCCCCGCATGCTTCATCTAGGTGCGCCCAGTATACCAGGCTCCCTTGTTCCCTTGCATGGTCGACCCTCCATAGTGGTCACCCCTTAGTCGAGCATTACCCGCCCTGATGGTCTATCTGTTAGGGTCATTGGTTCTATTCGCTCCCTGTTCCCTACCCTCATTGAGCCTGATGACATATGTCTCCCTGTTATCTATGTGTGGATGCCCTTACGAGTTTTCGACCCCTAGGCTGCATTCGCCACCCTCAACGACCGTCCCACCCTTTGGTTTGCGACACACTTCCCCTGTGACATATGGTTGACTTGTGGTTGCTTTGTTGCCCTCAAATTGAGGCTACTGCCTCTGACATTTATAGGATTTAGTTGTTCTGCTTTTGCTGTTCTTAGGACTATACACTAGTCAGTTGTTTCCAGACTGAGGCTACTGCCTCCAACATTCTAGGATCTAGTTGTCATTACTTTCTGCTTTCCTAGGACACGTATGCTAGTTAGTTGTTTTTGCTTCTACTTCGGCTGTTAGCTGTGACATTGCTGTTTTGTGACATTTTCTAGCCTAGGTTGCATCGCATGGACTCAGCACGGAGCTCGCTCCGCATCCTAGACTACTCAGATTTTAGTTTTTCTTTGCTAGAGTTACGCTTCTTGGCGGAAGCGTGTTTGTATCTAGGCGATCCATCACAGGTCGAGGATCGTGTAGCGGACCTCTGGTTGGCCGGTGAGACCAGCCCCTTGGCCTGTTCTCACAGGCCTGTGTTCTATTCGGGGGCAGTCCAGTCCAGTCCAGGCCGGTACCTCTGTCGGTACCAGCCATTCCAATCCAGCCCGTCAGTCCGATGGGGTATACCCCAGCCATTGTCTGTTTTTTCGGAGGCATTCTTCAGTTGCACATTTTGGAGTACGTGCGTTGGAGTCTTGCGTGGGGAGCTGCGTTGTGCCATCTCGCTCCCCCCTTCTTCCTCCATCTCCATCTCTACCACTAGCGGAGCACCACACCTGGTGGGTCCGCTACACTTATGGCCTACTGAGACCTCTCCCCATTCCTGACGGACCCGGTGAATCGATTTCCATCGACTTCACGAACATGGGAAAGGTGAGTGAGGCTGGGAATTCACAAGTCATGGTCATTGTGGATCGCTTCTCCAAATTTATGAACTTGATTCCTCTCCCTCCTCACGCCCCGACTGAACTTGTCATAGAAGAATTCCATCAGCAGTACATTTTGCAATCCGGCGTCCCGAAAACTGTTGTGAGTGATCGGGACACCAGATTCATCAGCAAAGATTGGAAAGACTTCACATCTCAGATCTACGACATCAAACTGAACAGGACTTCTGGTCGACACCCCGAAGCCAACGGATTGGCTGAGGAGATCAACCAGACTGTCATCCAATTGCTTTGCGCACTAATTGTTCCAGATCAGAACACGTGGGACAAGGAATTGCACAAGGTGAAGGGGTTTTACAACAACTCCATTCACTCTGCGACTGGTGTGACACCAAACCAATTGCAGTATGGATGGCCGATGTGTAATCCCCTCTCCTATCTGTTCCCTGAACGGTCCCCTGGTATGATGCCCGACATGCCTGGCTACAATGCCAAGTACGCACGCTTGCTCAAAGCTGCTACAGCAGCTATGAACAAGCGCCAGCATGCCATGATCAAACATGCCAATAAGCTGCGCAAAGAAGAAAAATTCGAAGTAGGGGATTATTATTGGGTCAAAATGTCTGAGTTTTCTGACGAAGAGGGCATTTCACGAAAGCTTATTCCGTTGTACTACGGCCCTTGGCAGATTCTGAAGGTAGTCGGGGATGACTTTGGCCCTTCATTTGTGATTGACGTGCGTCCTCATCTGCGCACGTATCCGGTCTTTCATGCGTCCAAACTATTCCCACACATTGATGATGAGACCTTTCCGTTCCGGGACCCAATGATACCTCGCCCTACCGACGGCGGCCATGAGATAGACAGAATCGTATCTCACGAGGGCAGAGGGAGGAACGGACAATACAAAGTTCATTTCCTCTACCACCCGTTGAACGAATTCTTCTGGATCGACCGGAAAGAATTGATAAAGAGTGCTCCACGTGTTGTGAACGCGTATGAACGATAGATTGTTGACGGACAAACCGCTAAGTTTGCTGCAAAACTCACTCTGTTCGGACTCGCTAACACTCTCTTTTTGATCTATGCCTATGAAGCCTTCTGTGCCGACTCTGACTGAGTTACTCGCTCGAAGGGACCTCGCTCTTGAGAGGGGAGTAATGTAATGACCCGCCCAAAACACAGACTGAGAACACTGCTGATKTCTGGGATTTGYCAATGGAATGAATGCCTTGCTGTGATTCCCGCATTCTGCTGTGGTCCCAAGTCTGTGTGTGTGCGTGCCTGCTGGTTTGCATGCCTGTCTGAGTGCTTGCCGGTTGTGTGTGGGTGTGCGTGCCTGCTGGGTTGCATGCCTGTCTGAGTGCTTGCTGGTTGGGTATGTGTGTGACCCGCCAGGGTACTTGTTGGTTGCAAGGCCCACCGGGCCGGTACTTACCTGTGGCCGTGACTTTGAAGGGTTGCAGGGGGGTAAACATGCCGGTAGCGGGGAGTAGGCCCACGGCACTTAGAGCAGCTGGGGAAAAACACTCAAGTAGCAGGTAGGCCGAGCAGAAGAAGACAAAAAGTTGGCATTTT